TGTTACTACGGTAATAAATGTATGTTATTGAGCATTTCCAGAGACATTTTTGAGTCATTGTCTCTTTTAATAATTGTATAATATGATAATAAATAGTTGTATTAACTATTATCCATCATGCAGTTGTGTATAGAATTATGGGTGTTTGTTAGTTTGATTGTTTTACATTTCACTGTGCTGGAATGTCAGGAAAATCCGAGAAGCAAGCGGCTTCTGTTCAATATCAATTTATTCTCTCAAAACCAAAGTATTTATCTCGTGTAATAATCGTTTGAGAAACCTGTAGAATTCATTCGAAAATCATCTCATTTTAAGCATGGCTCTCGATAGGACGGGGGGGGGGGGGGGGGGGTTGAATCCGGTATAAACGATATCTCTTTCAAAATGTGAAGTTAAAAAATATTTCAAAAAAATTCTCGGGAACAACAATAAAATGGATGCTGCTGGGTAGAGAAAAATTTTTTTTTTTTTTTTTTTTTCTAAATATAATTAGACAGAAAATTTGTGAAATGTAGTAAGTTACCGTATACGCTGTACAACAATTTAAGGACATTAAGTTGATACACTGCATGTTAAGCAATATTCGATAAAAAAAATGTCCAAACAAAAAATTAGAAGGACTTCTGCCCGCATGTGGTAACAAAACTTCTTCTCTTTTTAATTGAAATGATACATGCACATTTTTTCAGTCACAGCAAGGAACATTTTTGAATAATTAATTTTAAGTAAGCAGGTTGATAAATTATAAACAAATGGATGAATTATAATTCACATGCATTTAAAATGAAAGGAACAGATCCAGGATGACCAGTGGTGGGATTGTGTGTGTGTGTGTGGGGTGGTGGGGTTAAAAGTAAAATGACAGAAACATGCAATACTTGTACATGTAGTTAACATGAGTTTAATAGCATACGAGGGTTGTTGTATTTTTAAAATCTTCCTACATTTAAGGTGTGCAGGGGGGATGCCTTCCCACCACCAACCCCATAACCTCCAGATACGTCATTTGGTTAGGTTTGAAATAATATTGACATAATTCCTCAATTTATTTTTGCACCTTGAACTCTCTCCTTACGTACATGTATATGAGCAGGGTCATTTTCAAAACAAACAGCGATCATGAGCTCCACATGCCTGGAACTGGAAACTTAATTGCTATCAAATCTAGTTAATCATGAGAAAAATTGCGTCCTAGAATAACGATTTTGTTTGACTTTGTAAAATTAAATGGTTTTAGAAGAACATGGGAATTAATAGATATCTGGTATTTTATTGTCATTTCAACAAATTTTATCCGAACTTTGAATGAAATCAATATGTCATTTTTTTAAATTAATATCAAATAGATTTTTCTAAGAAATAAATCATAAATAATTATATATATGTTGTCGTTATGAATCAATGACATGCAGATTAATTAATAGAATTTTTTTTCTGCTGGGGGGGGGGGTAAAAATTAATTGAAAGTTTTATATATCCAGTAAGTTAAATGCGACTGGTTCATAATATTCCTTGACTGGCTGAGTTTTTAAATGACAAATTTTTACGATGTGGCACACATTTAGATACATGTAAATATTGTTATGTTATGGTGTGTGTAGAATCCCCCCCCCCCATTTCTCGCGGCTTCTTTATCGTATGAATGTTATTGTTTTCAAATGTTATTGTATATGAAGTTTTACAATATAAAAAATCCATTCTTGCCCCATGCCAGAGACTTGGATATGCTTATTCTTGTAAAGCTTTACAGATACACTGTAAAGTAGTTAGGTCCCAGTAATATAAAATGACCCTGGCCCTCTTCCCCGGTCTCCTGCACTGCCACAAAAATTAAAACTTGCAAACATATTCTTAGTCTTGTGTGCAGTATATTTTTAGCATTTAATTTAATTTGTACAATGCATGTTTAAATACAATTTGATCTTAACAAGATTTATTTCAATAAATCCAAGTAACAAAATCAGCCCGTTTACATAATTCAACGGCAAGTTAAGCAATATCATACTAAATCGATAACTGAGATTATTATTTCAATAAAAAAACGAGTTTTAGATTGATAATAGAAATGTAATGACATGCAATGCTGAGATTCTATGAATGACAAGGATTACATATATTTGACTTCTAAGTGACTAAAAACTGCAGATAAAGCTAAAATCTTTGAACTTTTTTATGCACAACACGAGTACCAAAATGTTATATTTTCGAGTTACTGAAAATAAATAAACAGCAAAAGAAAAAAAAAGAGATAGAGATTTCTTTTCATAATACGATATTGTTGTGTTTTTGAAAATTCGCCTTTTCATTAAAGTTTCACATTTCACATTGTATTAATAAACTCGATTTAATGTAACATCTCTCTCTCTCTCTCTAAGACACACACACACACACACACATCAGGTATACATACATGTAAACTTTTTTTAAGCTAGAACAATTAGAACAATTTTATTTCATTCGGTAGTTTTTGTTTGTTTTCAAGTACTTACATCGGAAGTGGCAACAACAAAAATAAGACGAAACAATTTTTTTTTTAATTTCATTTGATTTTATTTAAATTTATGATCATTATTACTGAAAAAAAATTAAAATTCAAGTTATTTTAAAAAAATAATTTCATGTTAAAATAAATACATGCACATGTAACAGATTTAAAAAATAATAAATGAAAGTCTGGTTCAATGTAGTATATATTTCTTATTCTATATTTTTTTTTTCTCTTTCACTTTGACAGCTGCTAGTTCCATAAGCTTTCAAAAATACTTTTAAAGAAAATATAAATATAATACTTACAATTAAAACGTTTTTTTTACTGATGATAAGTAAGATTTTTAAAAATATTTTTTATACTACGGGAACAAATTTGTATGAGTATGTTGATAATGGTTTAAAAAAAAGAAGAAGAGAAAGTCCCTCCATGGTACCTCTCTAGTATCTCGCTTGTCAGAGTTACCTCTCTTGTTTTTATTTATAGTTCTTAAAAATAATATCACGTCTGTCATTCGTTCGTACTTTTGCTAGATTTGTGAAAACTTACAAGAATACTTTTCTTTTCTGTTGGAAGAAGTGTGATCAGTTTCAAATTTTTGGCAATTAAAGCATTTTACAACAAAAATTTATGCGCGATGTACCAATGCTTCAATGTTTACATGATCGATGTGTTGAGAATGATGGAGGCGGATTTTATACTGTAAGAAAAACGATTTCCTCTGCAATATTTTGATAATATATCCGTGTCTAACAAATAACTTCAATTTGTCTATATATCAAAATCGCATTCGTTCATCCATATTCAAATATCCAGAAAATCACCTTGTCTGAAGCTTCTATGCATGTATAGGCAGGGGCGTAGCTTCCATTGTGGCAATGAGGCAACTGCCTCACTAGATTTTTCACCACCACCACCCCTTCCCATTATCAACAATACATTGCAGATAATTCGTAAAAAGTAATGGCATTTCTTTTAACATTTTAAGCAGTTCTATAATGTTGAATTGAAGTTTTAAAGAAAGAAGAAAAGTTTAATAAGATGCGCTTTCACCTTTAAATGTTTCAAAAGTTTTAGTAAACATATTTATTAACTCTTTTACATTCTTTTATAGTATGCAGTATCATGCTGAAGTCTTAAATAAAGAAACTATTACAGCAAATGAAATTACATTGCATTTTAAAACCCAAAACTCCATTTTCTGTTGGAGTGCCCCCCCCCCCAATGACACCATCCGGAAACTGCTGGGGGTTCAAGGTGGCCCCAGACCTCTCGCTGCTACATGTATGGTTTTGCCTCACTAGAATTTAAAGTCAAGCTACGCCCCTGATAGGAAATGCATAGCACAGATCAGAGACGTATTATAAAGCTATGTAATAATATGTAGTAAAGAAACGGGTTTCGAATAAAATTCTAAATATTTTAATTAATATCAGTGGACTAGAAGATAAAAAAACTGAATTAAAGATATGAATGAACATAAATAATTATTTCAATGTTGAGAACAACGACGAAAGTGAGCTAGACGTGTCAAAACGTAAAACACGTGGATAAAAAAATCTGCGTCGACGCTCACCGTCTCCAACGTCATATCTTTATGACGTTATTTCTCTGTTTTAGCAAAATTGCCATAAGGCCCTTTTGTCATGGGCGCAATCATATATGTATAAATAAAATCATTTACGCATCATACATTAAATTTCATCTAATTTTAATCTTCTTTCGTCAGGTCATATATAATTAAATGTATGAAACAATTTGTTTGTAAGGATTATTTATTTTTTAGTATAACGGATAATATGTTACACATGTAGCTACTACATGAAGAACAATTACTTTTTTCTTTATAGCAAAAGAAAATGTCTATCCTTCCTGAATTAACTTTTTTTTTTCTTTCTGATTCTTTAAAATAAATTTTCGACTAACACTAGGCTTTAAAAATGTTAGGAACAATATGCACGGTGATAGAAATTTTATTTCAAGTTGGAAATAACGTTTGCTCAGAAAAAAAAAAATTAATTTTGTATAACAATCCATGTTTCTGAGAATATGACTTTCAAACCTAGTCTTATATTACATTTTGTCTTACTGTGCCGTGTTTTAAAACTGATATACATACGAGTAATAGAACTATTTGATTGGCGTAGATTGCCGAAGAGGCGGACAATTGTTTTACTTCGATGAATTTCTTAGGATTGAGAAGACTAATTGTTCTTATTCATCAATGTCATAATAATTTTCTAAATAGTACACGTGGTAAATTTATGCTAAATGAGTTTTATGTTAATTAGTTCTACGGAGTGTAAATTTTAACCATCCGGTTTGGTTAAGGCGACCCAGTGTCAATCAAAACTTCATCCAATAATAATTTCTATCGGACCTGACGTAATAAGTAAAAGATAAAATAAAAAAAAATATCGAATATACTTCATAATCTTCACCCTTCCTACTGAAAGCAAATTGATAATCTGAAAATGTTATCAAAAATGTTTTTTTTTTTTAATTTGAAAAAATGAACGGACAGGAAGCCATTGCAATAGTGGGGGTCGGTTGCAAGTTTCCTGGAGCTGATGGTTTGGAGGAATTTTGGCGAGTTCTTAAAAATGGCGAAGATCATGTCCAGGATATACCAAAAGAAAGGTTTAATGTTGACGCCTTTTTTGACATTGATCCTGATGCACCTGGTACAACATATATAAGGAAAGCCGGAATCGTTTCAGGGTAGGAAAGATAAATCTATCAAAAATTCTTTCTCTCTATCTCTCTCATTTTATTTCGACCGTGCTGCTACCTCTAAAGCTTGAAACTGTACTTGAAAAAAAAAAATCAAGTATGATTTACGCACAGGGAACAAAACGTACGGGGATAATAGTCTGATAATAGTTGCCATGTTTGTGTTTTTTTTACAAAAGTATTTTATGTTCCTTTGTTATTCCTACAAGTCCGAAGCCAAGTCAACTGAGCTAGTTTTTTGATGGATTAAGAGAAAAAAACAGCAGTATTGAAAGTGAAAAAATGTCATTTATTCAAGTAAACGACGCAAAACAAAAATGCACATAAAGTATTTCTCTGTTGTATACTTTTTATAATTACAAATTTGATCGTTCGTCAGATTTTGTGTTTATAACGTTTACTAAGAAAATCAATTGAATTATTTCCCTTGTAACATTATTTTAACACTTTTCGGTTATCCAAATCAAAGGTTCTGTATAATTATAACTTAAAAATTATATTTAACGGTTTAAAAAAAATGACAAGTGTGATAGAATCAAAACCTGATTGAAAATATGAAAACATAAAGTCAAACGAAATGCAATTAAAAAAAAAAAAGAAAGAGAGATAAGAAATAAAAACAGATTATAAGAATACATAAAAGAAAGAAACGCACGCTTTATGAGAAACTTTTGAATACCTAAGTGATATCTAAATGAAGCTTATTTTCTTTGAATTGGTGTTTTTTTAATTTATATGTATTTCCTATTTTTAAAAAATACTTCAAAAATCTAACAGTCGATCATTTTTAAATGAGAGGTCGGCAGTCATTTGATGCTGGACCGATTGGTGAAATGTTCCTTACTAAGTCAGAAACGTACTTACATTCCCATCTTTTACTGACAAACTTAGACAATTACTGACAATGTGCTGCCTTTACTGCAAAACTTAGACAATTACTGACCGTTTGAATCAAGTTTAAATAAATGTGTTGAATAATTGTACTTTATCCCTATCACTGTTCAATCTAAAGAAATAAAATATCAACAAATTAGTTTTCATCAATTTATTCCTTTGCAGACGGATGCTAAATATACCCGCCTTTAAATGTATGCTAGTAGTTTGAATTGTTTCCTTTTTTCATTGATCGGAAATACATGTTTGTAATTTTTTTATCAACAGGACGGAAAAATCTAAATATACTAAGACCTAGGACTTGAATAGTTATTGATCGGTAATTTCATTTCTTGGACATCTGTACAAGTCATATATACCGCTGTTTGGGATATCCGGTTTCAATCGATCATAACTGAGTTCCCTTGTGAACGAGAGAAGTGTGGTAAATTTCTAGAGCTTCAAATTATAAACTGTGCCTTGTTAATTTTGTCACTAAAATATTATATCTAAGAAAACGGTTTCTCGCATAAAATATTAGCACACATGTATATTCTCCAAGTTACACGAAAACCCCAATATCTAGTATACATGCAAAGGATTTTAAAGGTGCAAATTTCTGTGACCACGTGGTACAATGTACAATCGTAATCATTATCAGTATTAAGGAGATGGGCGAACATAGCGTGCAGAAAGCCTATAGCTTCAGATATATAAAAATCATGTTCAGTTTGTGAATTTAGTATTTAGAGTAAAGTTCTCATTATTGAAATTTATGATATTATGATAAACAAAACTTTTCTGAGGAAAATTTTCTCGGTAAAATTTATTCTTTTATTAAAAAAATTAATGTGGTATTCGTGTGGTTCGAACCCTAGCAATAAAAATCCTGAGTATCATTTTCTTTCGAGACTAGCACGCTAACCACTAGACTACACAAGTCCTGATGAAGTGTGGCATTTAAATCATGTTTGTGATATGACCCTTGACTTAATGGACTCCAAGTATTTCTCGAAAAGCTGCGAATGTTATGTCATAAAAGTATATTTTTAATGTATAGTGGGTCATTGCTCCATATTTTTGGTAACCAAAAAATGTATATTTTTATGCAAACTTTGAGGATTAACTTTCAAAAAGGTGGAGCAAAGACCCACTCATATCGAAAAATAGTATTATAGTATGAGAAAATGACTCTTTTAGCCCGCTTTTGTGTGTGTCTGGTATTTCACAGGCAAATAATTTCAATCTTTGCGGGATTTTTGCAAATTGTAGAGATTTTACATAAAGTATATTTTTATGTTAGACGAAATATCAAGGAAAATTTTGATATAATTGAAATTTAATTTTCATCTTCATGTTTGTCACACTATAGGATTATTGCTCGTCATGTTCACCCATCTCCTTTATTTATTTGTTCATTTGCGTCAGTTTTGATTAATATTTTTCACTTTCTTTTTTATAGTATTAAGATTATTTACAATAAGTCCCCACCATATCCCGTGCCGAGTTGCCGTTCATCTCTCTCTCTCTCTCTCTCTCTCTCTCTCTCTCTCTCTCTCTCCAAAAAAAAATAAATATTGACCCAGGCGAAGTGAATGTAGATAGTTTAAGATATAGTATAACATCCGACTGAAAATAAAGTTTAATTGTTACGATCTGGTTGCATGTAAATTGTTTTCAAATAATTATTCTTAAATTATTTATAAAAAGTTTCGAAAATATACCTGGAATTATTTTCATGTTTTTTTTTTAAATTGATAAACAAACTTCACATGCATGCAAGCGACAACACATTCATTATTGTTCTCTCACTTTACCGTCCCTTGAAATGTACATCGCACACTAATCCGACTTAACAGAAAAAAAATTTAGGAAGAAACCCTAAAAACGTATTTTTGCAACACTTTAGTAGTGATTTCCCAGTGGCGGATCCAGGAATTTCATAAGGGGGGGTAGAAGGCAGGAGGTCTTGGGGCTGCATTGAAGCCCCAATTGGGTCCAGGACAAAGCCCTGGTGGGGGTCCGGGGGCAAAGCCCCCGTAAGCTGACGAAGTCTTACAAATAAGAGGTGTTGTTCCCTTGATTTTAGGATAATGGACATATAAGTTCTAAAAAAAAAAATCAAAATGTGTGTGTGTGCTTGGGGGGGGGGGGGATTCCCGGCGCTGGATACACCTTTGTTTCTCCTTTTTCATTTATTTATTTTTGTATGTTAGAAATTGCAGCTAAATCTTAAAAGTTTGTTCTTTCCCGAATTGGATTTTCACATTTCAATTTTAATTAATCATTCATTTAATTTATCTAAAATAAATCTAGTATATATTTTTTTTTAGAATAACTTATTTATTTAAAAAGAGGGAGACAGATTGTAGTTTGCATGATTATTAAATTGTATGTGTTGAATTGCTCAAAATTGTGTTGAAGTACAGAGAGGTCTATCAGTCGCCGTAATGTTGCGTAACTAACTTCCTGTGATATCCTGCGAGCGCCCTTCAGTGTATTGCAGCAGTGACACCTATTGTCTTATTTTCTCGCTACCGTACACACTCGGATCGCCTCAAGGGATTTCTTCTACACTCAGGTGCTTCACAGAGTTTCCGATTGTGTGTTCAATGTTGGTTATCAGCTAATAGACTTGAATCATTTTGGACAAATAATAAGCAGAGTATTACTGTAAAATCAACTAGTTTATTAACTGAACAAAGTTCCCGACCACGCTATGAAACGTCGATTAATTTTTTTTTTTTTTTTTTTTTTTTTGTTTTAGGAATTGGCATTGAGGTTGTTTAAATCTTTGCTGGTAATTCTTAAAATAAATCTACGGACAATTAAAGTTTAACAGTTTAAATAACCACAGTAAATAAAAGTTTGATTTTTTTATGCGAAGAGTTTAAAAAAAAAACATACAGATATAGGGTATGAAGATCATCTGTTTCACACGTAAATACGATTTGTTTTAAACATTTAATCACTATCAAATTAGAGACATAAATATTTGTATGTCTGCATGCATAATCTAATGCACCATCTTTGTGTAAACTAACAAAATGTGCACACCTCAGCACGACATCAAAGCCTTACCATTCAATCAAGCGAGAAACTATCCAAATTATGCTATCGATTTTATTGATAAATCAATCGCTCACACAAAATAAAAAAATCGATATGATTGTTCCTGGCTTAAAATTTTCACGGATCTCGAAAATTCTCACCCAAAACACCTTGCAAAAGATATAATCAGAATACTCCCTCGTCCATATATTTCATGAATTAAACATTACAAGGTTTATGTCAATTGTTTCTCGCTTTCTGTGTTAGAAACAGCAAATTCTACCACCAATAGGATATTATTGAGACATAAACAGATAAAACATAAGTACTAATTAAACAAGACCTCATTGTTTTAACAAGCATGTGTGCTCTATCTTAGGAAAACAATTATTGATAATACATCTTTATCTAAGATCGAACGCGTGTCGTACCAACCCCCCCCTTCGACCTCTTTAAATTTGATAAGAAAATGGATATGACTTTCTACCAACATTCTATTTGATAAGAAAATGGCTATGAATTCTATCAACATTCTATTTCAAGATGTCGCATCAACAACTAAACGTTTGAAAATGTAAAACTAGCAATTCAAAGAGTATTTTACTCTACTTGAAAAGCATGAATTGCTTTAAGTCAGCCAATATATATGTATCATTTTCAATCCAAATTAAGTTAAAAATATACATGTGAACTATATTTCGTGTCAAACCGCTGATTTTTTTTTTTTAAACATACATGCCAACTTTCCCGATTTAGGCGGGATCCTCCCGATTTTACCCTTTGATCCCGCTCTCCCGATCGGGAAAGCAAAATTGCCCAAAAATCCCGATTTGAAAAAATTCAACCTAAAATTTCCGATTTTCTGAGTTTCCCTACCGCAATATTTTGTCAATCGGGATTAGAATATCAGACTTGTTTATTCAATGCACACAGATTAGTCTCTTTGTTTATTTAACGCATGTAGAGGTGTTAATTAGCCACAGGAAATCACTTCTCGCTTGAACGCACACAACTGTCCAGGTACAGGTAACATAGCCTGGAGCAGTTAGAGGATTAAACTTTTCAGTCAGAAGGGGTATGCATATAGTGAAACACATAGATTTAGGGTATAATTAAATATCATTTTATTAAAAACAAAAATTGAATACAGTAATATGATAAACTAACAACAAAATCGGAATTAATCCATATTGATCGTTTTTTAAAAACGAAAGTACAAAACAACAAAGCATAGCTGCTGATTTTAAAATATTATAAAGTTTACCGGTTAAAAGAAGATTCATGAAAATAATTTAGATGAAACAACAAAGTCTTATACCTCAAGTACACTGAATCCCCCCCCCCCCAATGTAATATGACAACGGAATACCCACACGACACTGCCAATATTATGCAAATTAAAGTTCATCATGTTTATAACAATTTTAATTTTTGTTTTAAATAATTGATGATCTCAAGAGTAAATTTATTTCTTCAAATTGTTTTGTGTGTGTGATTAAATTAATCATCATGATGTCTACTTATTAAAAGGGAATAAATTGACACTTCTGTTTAAAGTACATACCACAAACAAATTTTCTTATCTCTCTCTCTCTCTCTCTCTCTCTCTCTCTCTCTCTCAGACACACAGTGCATTGCAATTTTTCAATATTTCTTTCAATCTAATGTCTAATTAGGAAATTCTAATTGTGTAAAATGTAAATATAGAATTTAACAAATGTTTCCCAAGAAATTGTACAGTAACAAAACTTCATATATTTCTAAAACTTTGCAAAAAAATTTATTGAACTGAAAGTTGTACATTTTCACATTTTTCACCAAATTATGTGTCTTGTTCAAACATAGTGTTGTTAAACTAAACAGATATCTCTTCTTTAGTGAGAGAGGTTTCTATTTAAGCAAAAGATATTGAATTTTGGAAGGAGAAAAATTGTTTGTATTATTTATTCTTAAATTGTATTAACAAGTGATATTGATATTATAAATTTAAAAAAAAAAATGGGATAAACATTTATTTTCACGACAAAATGCCGCGAAATTAAAGCTTTGAAAATTGTCGTCACGCGCAAAATCCCCCATGGGAATTTTCAAAAGTTGGCATGTATGTTTAAAATAGCTTATTTATTTAATTTTTCATCACTTAATACCAAATGAGTTGCTGTGCATTACAAATCATTACAGTAAATTAACACTAAATAAATAACATTCTCAAGTTCCAGATATGGAAATCAATTAAAAGATGCATTTTATTCAAAAGAATAAAATGGGCAGTAACTAAATCAATGAATATCAATGATCAAAGAATATCAATACAGACCCATGGCAAAAAAAGTTAACTGTCCAAACTTGAAAAACTAAAAATCCTATTTTGGGAGGCGGAACCTACTTTTTAGTATATTTTTTATTTTCTTTCAAATTCTGGAATTTGGGTATGTTTGACTGTACAGCACACAAATGGGGGGGGGGGGGGGGGCAGCATCCACGTTAAAAATTACATAAGAAAACTACACCAAAACACCAAAAGCTTATTCTCAGAAAAGGGGTCAGTAATTGTTTAAGTTTATCAGCACCGACTAAGATTGTCAGCACTTTTCTAAGTTTATCAGCACCGGCAGTAAAACGGTCAGTAATTGTCTAAGTTTTGCAGTAAAGACAGCATATTGTCAGTAATTGTCTAAGTTTGTCAGTAAAAAATGGAAATGTCAGTACGTTTCTGACTTACATATAGTAGTGGTTGGACGTTTCTTTTTCGTATATATGAAGGGTGATCAAAACGTTCCCGAACTAATTGAATAACTTCCATAAAAGAAATCAAATTGTGTTTCAGTGTTTTTTGTTCTTTTAAAGTAGGCCTCTCTGGTTTTTAGGATAAAAAAACACAATATTTTTTATTCCCAAATTCGACTATCTTTGCTTAAATAGGTGTCTCTCTCACTAAAGAAGTGGTGTCTTGATATCTGCTTGGTTAAACAACTTCAGGCTTGTCCAAGCCACTATATTTGGTAAAAATCGGAAGAATGTAACTGTACAGATCAATATGTTCTTGAAACGTTTTAGAAATATTACCGGTATTCAGTTTGTTACTGGAAAGCTTCTGGGAACATTTTTAAGAGTCTATGTTTACATTTTACACAATACAATATATATATATATATATATATATATATATATATATATGACATATGGCTTTAGGAGACCATGGAGGATATATTTTCTGGCTTGGGGAGACCACTGGATTAAGGCGACCTTTTTCGGTCTCCCTATTATTTTGACCTCATCAGTATTGCAAATGTCTTTTTTTAGATAAATAAACAGTCTGCCATTAAATATTATTAATCTTTAACTCTGTTATTTAACATTCAAAAGTTGTCTAATTTCTATCATCTTCCCTAAAAAAGAAAAGAAATTATAACCTACGTATAATTTCAAAGGATAATTTTTCTGCATTTTGGAGACCATGAAAAACATGCAATTAAACAAAAAATCTAGCATATATATTTTTTCCGCTTTTGATTTTTTCAAATGAGTGTTTCTTTAACTTAGTTTTTCAGGTTTTATGTTAAAAACCTAAAAAGGAAAAATATTGTAAATTTATGAACCATGTTTTGAATTCTTAGCAAGTGCTTTCCGTCACTTGTTCCGAATGCCATCGGAATGCCCCTTCAGTTTTCAGAAAATGACCTCTGAACACATGGATGTTGAGAAATTTGGGTAAGTAACTAAAATGATACAGTAATAAGTTGTAATTAAGAATACACAAGACAAACATTCGTTGTTTTTTTTTATGTTTTTTTTTTTTTTTTTTGGCCTAGATCTAGTAATTTAGCTTTCAAGAGAAAAAGTATGATTTTAAATAATCGTTAGACTATAGTTCGGTATATAAAATCCTGAAGGAAATTCGAAATAAAGTTAAATGATAGGCCCCTATATTTTTTAATTCTTTTATGCAAGTCCACAAACAAATTAAATATTTAAAGATTAGGCCGAACGTAGAAAAAAATGGTCTCGCAAGTTGACGCAGCTATTTCGAGCTTAAGAATTTAAATTAAACTTTCTGTAAACAACATGCAGGACATGATCATCATGATATAGTATAAATGAAACAGACCCTGTAAGAAAAAAAAATAGCTGTAATTTAATAATTGTTTATTAATATAATGTGATCCTCTGCTAATAGAATATATATGCTGTAAAAAAAAATCTGAATCAGGGTGAAGCAGATTTGATACAATACATGGCTGAAGGAACGGGGGGGGGGGGGGGGGAGCAGGCCCCCTGTAATTTTGCTGAAATTTAGGTATACTATAGAAAACATTGCTCTTTTATGCTTGGGCCCCCTCAATAATAACCTCTGATGATCTATTTTTCTTTTGCTTTTGGGCCCAATCAAAATTTTGACCTCTGATAATGTATTTTTCTTTTGCTTATTAAAAATTTTTGGTTTGTAGCCACCCCCAACCTGAAACTGAGAAGTGTTGTTTGGTTGTGCTCACCCCCCCCCCCCACCCCCTCCAACTAAATTACGTACGGGCCTATTCTCCATCCCTGAGGTTTTCTTTCACCAAAGAAAGATTAATTGGTAACAGTTCAGATATATATAGCAATATTTACGGAAGGGAATATTCTCGTTTAATTATGAAGATGTGGCAGTAACTCAGTCAAAGCCACGGTGAGTGTAACATTTATTTAATATTATTGTTAATGTTTACAAATAGTGAACTACTGATACTATGAAATTTTAATGGATATATAGAAAATATACAAGTACAACCATTTATTGTAAAGCACATACATGAAAAGCTTCTTTTTTTCCCCAAGCAATTGGAAATTCTTCAATTTTCCATGAAATTACTTTATTTCGTATGTATGATAATTTATTTCGTATTTTAATTCAGTCAACAAATCATTGTCGCAGCCTAGTTCCCTTCATTATTTTCAGCAGTTCAGTGACAGAGATAAAATGATCATTTGAGGTTTATACCCCCCCCCCTTCCCCACCAAATGAAACTGAAAAATGTTTGGTTTTGGTCCCCTTCAACTGAAATTGATTCCTACTTACCATGCTTACAGGCTTAACTATGAAGATGTGACATGGAGTGTAATATCAATAATTGTTCAGATGGATACATAAGCTGATATACGTATCAAATTTTAATGGATGGATAGAAATTAATATACAATTACAACCATTTATTATAAATTACATAAAGATAATTTTTCAAGCAATTTGAAATTCTTCATTTTTTATGATAATATTTTATTTCGTTTTGGTTTGTTCGTATCAACAAATCTGTGTACGAGTTAATAACGCAGCCTGGTTCCCTGCATTTTCAGTGACAGAGAACCAGAATAAGATTGCAGGGAAACAAGCCTCAATGTTACAAGGTTTGAGGTTTGTTTATTTTATATTTTAATTTACACTTTTTAAAAATTATTATTATTATGCAAAAATCTGTGTGTAGATGAATATTTACATTTTAATGTTAATTAAGTCGTTTTGTGGTTCATTTATTTGCGGTGACTGTCCCACGTGTGTTTACCTGTTTACATTCACCTACTGACCTAAAGTCTTCAAAATATACCTTCTGTAATCATGACTGTTGTAATCTTGTTTTTATGTTAGTTTACCGTATGTAACTTGACTGTTGTATAGATTTATAGCGATCACTGCAAGCTTTTAATATTTAGGTGAAGAGAAATTTCAGACTATCAATCACAGGCACTTGTTTCATATACGGTGCATCCCTACTTATTTTTACCACAAGATATCTAACTCAATTTCAGGCACCCCCGCTTCAAGCTCGTATTTTGTTCATGTATCTTATCAATCATTAACCTACTTTTAAATGACATCGTTCGCTTCGAGAGACTTTTTTCTTGTCAAATAAATCGTTTCAGACATCTCTGGTCGAGCCTCTTTATTGTAAACCACTCATTTATTCCTCGAGATGGGATACAACTTCCAGTTGGGGGTAGAATAATACCAGAGACTTCCGAGTATTCCATTCCTAGGTCTCTGGTTTTATCCTTCATTTATAACCCCAACCACAAATTTGTATTGAAAAATTACCTTGATACATTTTAAGACTTTAGATTGGATACAAATTTCATTTTTTTTCACAGGTCACGAGGTTTCAACTTAAAAAATAAAAATTCTCACCGTTAAGATATGTTGGAAATTTGAGCTTGATGTGTTGATAATTTGCCAAATTATTATGTAATAAAGGGGACTTTATATGATCACCCGGCACTGTCGCTTTAGTTACAGTCTTCACAACAATTCTTTTTCAGCACATGCCCTTTGGGCATGTAGACCTATCATTTTTTCCAAGGCCATTCAAATTTGTACATGTCCTACTCAAAATTCTTACATTTACCAGTATTCACACTGCTCAACGCGTTATCAGCTATTCGGTTGTTATCGGGCATTCGGTGGATAACAACTTTTGACAGATTAGTAAATTGTGGCAAATAAACACTGTAACAATAGAAACAGAGAATGTTGTTTGTGCTTTTTTTGAACAGGAATGAATACAGATACGAAGTAAAGCCCCAATATATCTTATTATAGTATCTGTGAGTCTTGGGAAGACTTTAAAAGTCAAATTTGTTATATTTTGCAAGTTTTTGTTTGATTGTCATTGCTGCATATAGCCTCTTTCTTCAAAATTCGTATATTTACCTTACATTAATTATTGTCCACAATATGGCATCGTCGGAATCTCGCAAAGATGTAATTAAAGGGTAAAAATTTCCGTTTTTTCACTTTCAGGTTGTTATCGGAAATACGGTTGAATGGTTCACTTTGTTATCAGAAAATTCGGTTTTTGTTATCGGAAACAAAGGTTGTCATAGGTTAGGAAAAATGTAAAGAAACAACAGAAATCTTCAATAAATCAAAATATTTGAAGTGGCAGGCACACAATTCTGATTTTTGGCTATCATTTGTGTCATTTTAGAATATGTAACTTTAAAAATGAGTGTATTGTTTTGAATGTTTTTGACATTTCTCATAATTACTGAAATGTGTATGATCGTCACCTGTTCGAAAATATGGTATAAGTTTTAAAAAACCTCTGAATTACAAATCTCTATTGTAACCAAAATAAAATGCCAGATTTAATTATTGCGATTCTTACGTGGCATTATTCGCAATATAAAAGCATCGCAATAATTGCTGAATTCACAGTAATTTACTCTTAGTTTTCTGTGTGTTGCCTTTCAGTTACGCACTGTTCTTAGCTTTCGTCTCTGTTTTCCTTGCTTCGTCTTTATTCGTTGAATTTGCATTTTTGATCTACCCTTAAACGCCTTTTGTTAGTACTAAGTACATACATGTATTAGTTTGGTATAAATCAGTTTATGAATCTAAACTCAAGGGTGGCTAAATGAATTTTCCAAAAGAGTGTTAGGCCAAATATGACTTAGAATTCGAATTTTTGAGAAAAATATTGACTTTACCAGTTTACAAAAAGCGTTACTGACGGAATGAAATTATTTTTAACAAAATATGAAGATAACGAAAGAACAGTAATCAAGTTCAAAAGTCCATTGAAACAATATAAATTTGGAACAGAGTAAACACGGACTTCTAGCTAAAACATCAGAGGTTGGTTCAGGGGCCAAGAAGGAATAAACACCCCTTGTCGATCGGTCTCACCCGCAGTGTGCTCTTTGTCCTTATCGGCCAAAAGGAAAACCCTAATAATTCAATGTGTAGGTGGAGCTCATGCTTGGATCGGGGGGGGGGGGGGCAATTTGCAGATTTATTGAATATTTATACTCAAGCAAATAAAAAAAAACCCTTGGTACCCCCCCCCCCCCATTGAAAACGTGGATCATTGTTTGTAGAAAAAGTTAAACATATAAAGAAGTATAGTGAATCGACCCCCCCCCCCCCCCATGAAAAAAGATTTTTAATTAATTAATTATTGTTAATTAATTAATTAATTATTTTTTTTAATTTTGTCTTACTGGACCATGTTTTTGTAAAAGGATAGTCGCCTTAATCTACTACATATCCAATTATAAAAAGAAAGTCATGCTAAAAAGCATTTGTTTATAAGGCTAGACTCAAGGAAATCCTATTCATCTAAAGCAGTATTTATTTTCTACTTTTATAAGGAACAAATGTCAACTTTTTACAAGACTCTTTCTAAGACTTCAAAAACCTTGAAATCATATATTACATGTAAGATGCATAAAATGAAAGTTATTGCATGAAAAGTTTTCAATTACAAGCTATATGTTGAGACTTTTTAAATTAAATAATACTTATTTTTAAGAGTTATCCTTCCTGGCGGAGGATCGGATATCCTTAAAACACATTATTTGCTTTTTTCAAGGGTTGACAGATTATAATTGACTTTTTCCTCAATAATATTTCTAAAGCTGAAAGAAATTTTTTAACCTGAGTTTCCGATAACATACACCCATAAAAACCGAATTATCCGGCAACATCAACCTTGTTGATGATAACATGTTTTCACCTAACGAGACAGTTTAAATGCCTGTTTACTAATCCTTAATTTGGATTTTTGATCTCAGTCTGCTTACCCACAGGTATTTGATTGTCCATGGAATAAATAAACCATTTTGTTTTATAGAATAAACTTATTTTGACTTCTACAAAAGCTAAAATGTGATGAAATGTTCCGAAATTTTTAAAAAATATCATTTGAAAGCGCTGCATATCTTTAGAAAGAGAGCGATTTGGTTTGTGCTTTTTTGCTGCTGAAAGTATAATCATTTATCTGCCAAAGATCACAAACTTTGTTTGCTGAAGTGCACAATCATTGTTGAATTAAGAAATTTAAAATCACCTATGTTTTCTAAATATTGTTTTCCTTGCACCGAATGCTCGATAACAACCGAATAGCCGATAACGCGTTGAGCAGTGTGAGTATTGTGCAACAAAAAAAACCCATTAGGTATAAAGGTTTTATATTAATTTTTTCAGCGTCGTAAACCAACCATGGCCTGTGATTGCCATTTTCTAAAGCGTTTTTGTTCATAAATAACTTTTGAGTTGCATGCTGGTCATTTGTTGGCCGGTTTAGCTGAACTGAATTTCTGAAATGGGATCATGACTGTAGTGCCACAGTATGTGGCATTGATGAACATCTCATAATTTAGCAAGCAACTTCGAGAAAACAAATAGGTTAAACTAAACACTTCAATGATTAGATTGACAATCATTTGACAGGTCGTATCGAGAATGTAGACAGGCAATCCATCGACATTACATATAGCAACGTTTAAGCGAATAATGGGGGTAGGACAGAATAAATGGCAAGTAAAGATCGTACAACGAAAGAAGATTCACATATGCCCTCTTCGGACATGTAATTTGGCAATTTTTACATGCCCGGCTGCAAATTTAACAGGTCCCTGGCATTGGACTCCCGGGTTATTTGGAAGACTGTTAGTTTAGTTTCATGAGGTCCGACAACATTGATTCTCAATGTCTGCTCCCTCTACCCCATACACTTATCTTGATAAAATTATATAAATGATATTATTAATTATATAAATTGATATAAATTATATAAACCGGTCTTGTTTATATAATTTTACAATGTCATAAACAGCTGCTTAAGTGCATGCATATAATATTGTAAATGGATTTATATATAGGATTAGGGAAAGATCCTCACTTGATTATGGCAGCATATTTAGCTCGTAGGAGTTTATTATCTACCACACATGATCAATGTCACTTTTGGATGTGAATGACTTTTGACACCCTAACCATGCTAACTTCAGTTCAAATCAACGTTAACTTTATGTGACGTCTCTCTGAATCTTTTTTGGCATGTAACTTGGGTAAAACCAATTAAGTACTCTTGATGCATTTGATTTCTCTTAGCCCGTTTAAACATTTCCAAGGTCTATACCAGTTTTTGCAGGGGCAAAACTATGTAGAAGCTGGAAAAGAAACCCATCCTCTTTTTGACGTATTTGGTTTTCGAGGGGTGAAAATTTTCAGTGTTACACTCAACTACATGCAATATTTATTATATTATACTGAATATGTTTTATACAAATACAAATAATAGTGAACCTTGAGCACATATATCTGCACAGTCACTATTTTTTGGAATATCACCCGTCGTCAAGCAATGTTGACTGTTGCGACACTGGGCGTAGCTTCATTATTCAGCGGATAATAGTGCTTTTTAACAAATGTTTCTTGACGAATCAGATTAATTCATCTAATATACCTGAAAGTACAATATTAATTAATTGTCATCATTTTCCTATATTAGCATTTTTACTGGTAATGGTTTTGAAATGATAGGAACATGCACTGTTCAAAAAGTCTTAAAATGGTGTTTTGGCTCAATTTCTTTGTTAGATTACTGTGTTGAACTAAGGCAGGTCAATTAAAGTAACATGATCCTATAGATTCCATGTACATTTAGTACTGTAAAGTAGACAAATTTATTGTTCTCAAAAGTAGTTCTCAAACATTGATTTAAGTTGGTCTCCTGAAGGATGTAATAATGCAATTGGTCTGCTTAAGGTACAGTGTATAATATAGACATGCATATTTTATTTTGAATTTGTATTATGTCAATCATTAGAAATATATGGATCTTAATTAAAAAACGTTGTTTTCATTAGAATTTAAGATATGTATAATAGGCATATATTCTTCATGCTTTTCCATAGTTAAATCCTTTTTTACAGGGTCTCTGCTAGAATCATGTGGACCCCAGTGTAACAAATCTATGGAAAGAGAGAAAATCTCAGCTCAAGGGTCAACATGTCTTTATTCCAAGAAAGGTAAATTGATAATTTTTTCTGCTAAAATACTCTTTTATAAATTATAATATCAATGCAAAAGAGTGAA